AGAAACGGAAAACCAAACATTAAAACATTAAAGAAAAACCAGAACCCATTTCCTCAGAACATTTATTAACCATTCATTTCGAAAACACGATTGTCAATAAATATAACCCACCCTCCGGGCTCCGACCTACTCTAACTGCTCAACCCAATTTTCTTTCAGAATACATAGCTAATCTATCCGAATGTACAACCTTACTCCTGTGACGAGGTGATTTCCGAATGCAATAAACCACGTCACTGAGTTTCTTAATTATCAAAAAGGGTCCCTCCCAATTGCTTTGCAACTTGGGAGCCTTCTCCTTAACTCTTCGGGGATTGAAAAACCAGACTCTCTGCCCCTCCTGAAAGAGAACCTTTCTAACTCCGCGATCGTAGCGAGCCTTCATTCGAGCCGATTTCAAAACCAATTGTTTCCGTGCATTAGTATGAATTCTTTCTAATTTTTCTTTCAAATTTCTAACAAAATTTCCGATCAGTGGCGGCTCCTCAGCATGAAATTCCGAAGGATTCCCTCGCAACAAGTCTGTAGGTAATCTGAGATCTCGGCCAAAGTATAATTCTGAAGGAGTAAGTCCAGTTGACTCGTGTTTCGAGGATCTGTACGCTAAAAGATACATGGGGATCCACTGATCCCAATCTCTTTGATTTTCAGAAATATACTTCGCTAAATAATTAGTTATGGTCTGATGCTGTCGCTCTACTTGTCCATCGGACTGAGGATGTAAAGCTGTAGTTTTTGTTTTCCTTATCTCCAACAGCTTCATCAATTCCGAAAAGAGTCTTGATTCAAAATTCCGCCCTTGGTCGGTATGTACCTCAGTAGGCACCCCATGTCTAGAAACGAACTGGTTTACAAAGATCTCTGCTACCGTTTTTGCCCTCATATTCCTCAAGGGGAAAGCTTCCACCCATTTTGTAAAACAATCCACTATGACAAGAAGAAATCTATTCCCAGATTTCGTCAACGGAAGAGGACCCAGAATGTCCATCTGAACTCTCTCCAATGGAGCTCCAACATTGAAAACTTGTAGAGGAGATTTTCCTTTCCCTGAGGGCCCTTTTCTAGCAACGCAGACTTTGCAGGTTCTGCACCAGTCTTCCACGTCTTGTTTGCAGGTTGCCCAATAGTATCGTTTCCGAATTTTTTCCAAGGTTTTATTTATTCCAAAATGACCTCCGGACGGAGAGTCGTGTAACTCCTCCAGTATTCGTTTAACAAGTTTCCGAGGAACTATAAGTTGAAGAAAACTGGATCGAAGATTCGGAGCTTCCCATCGCTTATAGAGTATTCCTTCTTCTAGTACCAAAGCATCCCAATAAGACAAATAAATTTGAGTGGAAATATCTTCCGCAGCTATCTCGGTTCGTGCCGGACGAATCCCTGCTTCCTTTCCACGAAGTATAACTAAAATGCTCGGATCTGTCCTTTGCTCACGACTCCATTCCATGGGATCTCCTGTCGTCAATTCAATGCGGGCGAGTCCTTTTTCCAACACCACGAAATTTTTCTTTTCCACCTTGGCGCAATATTCACAACCAACCGATTCACATGACCGTCTCGACAGCCCGTCGGCATTCTTGTGAGAAAGTCCTTTCCTATAAGTGACAATAAATTGATATTGTTGGAGTCTCTCCAGCCAACGAGCCAACTGACCATCCAAATCCCTGAAAGACATAAGCCAACGCAAAGAAACATGATCCGTACGGATCAAAAATTCACGACCCAAAAGATAATGGCGGAAAAACTTAATAGAGTCAACGATCGCTAAAAGTTCGCGACGAGTCACGCAATAATTCCGCTCAGCTTTGTTGAGCACACGACTAAAATATGCAATGATCCTCTCCTCCCCCTCCTGTTCCTGCGATAAAACCGCGCCAATTCCTATATTGGAGGCGTCAGTGTCCAAAACGAAACCGCCTTCTCCCTTCGGAAAAGAAAGAATCGGGGGAGAGGATAACATTTGTTTTAATTCATCAAAAGAATTCTGACATTCCCCATCCCAAGTAAACTTAACGTGATTTCCCGTCAACAGATATAAAGGTTTAGCTATCGAAGAAAATCCTTTGATAAATTTCCGATAGTAAGAACAAAACCCGAGGAAGCTCCTTAATTGAGTCTTCGTATGAGGGACTGGCCATCTCTCCACGGCAGCGACTTTTTCAGGGTCTGTGGAAATTCCCTCGGCCGAAACTAAATGGCCCAAATACTTTACTTCCTTTGCAAAGAATACACATTTTTTAGGATTTATCTTTAAATTTACTTCTTGCAAGCGTAAGAATACTTTCTCTAAATTCCTTAACATTTCTTCAAAAGTTTTCCCGAAAATTATTATGTCGTCTAGATAAACCAAACAAATCTTAAATAGTAAACCTTGCAAAACTTTCTCCATTAGGCGTTCAAAAGTTGCCGGAGCGTTACATAACCCGAAAGGCATCACCGTGAATTGCCACAGTCCTCTACCGAAAGAGAAGGCCGTCTTTTCTCTGTCCTCAGGACGAATTTTAATTTGCCAATAACCACTTTTTAAATCCAAAGTACAGAACCAAACGTTACCTGCAAGTTGATCAAAAATATCGTCGATTCTGGGGAGGGGATATGAGTCTTTCTCAGTCAAAGCGTTTACAAAACGGTAATCCACGCAAAATCTTATTGTTCCATCCTTTTTCCGTATTAGTACAACAGGAGAAGTCCAAGGGCTATTTGATTCCTCAATTACTCCGCATGCCCTCATTTCCTCAATAACCTTATCCACCTCCCCTCTCATCTGAAAAGGAATCCGTCGAGGTACCTGTTTTTTGGGGAGAGAGCCTTGCACATTTATGACATGTTCAACAATATTACAATTTCCCGCAATAATATTTTCGGAAAACACATTATGAAATTTCCTAAGAAATTCAGTAAAAAGTTCCTTCTGAGATAGATCGAGATTCCGAGAATTATTATCGAAGAGTTCCCTTAAGGAGATAGGGACTTTATTAGGAACATTCTCTATTCGAGCCAACTGTATTTCCGAATTTGTGGATTGAAAAGCAAGATCAAAAATTTCCTCTAAATTTACTCTTTTCAGAAAATTAACGCCTAAAAGGCAATTGTCATTAATATCAGCAACAAGCAAAGGGAATTCAATTGAAAAACTACCTATTTCCACTCTAGCTTCAACTTCAAATTCTACTAAAACTTTCTCTCCAGTAGGATATCTTAAATTTATGTCCTCAACTCGAAACTTCCTCTTTCCTTCATCCACAAATTTCTTATTCACAATTGAAACGTCAGAGCCCGTATCTACCTTAAAAGAACATTCCTTTCCGTTAATCTTTCCTTGATAACAGAAATAATTGAAACTCGGCTTAATTCTATTTTTTTCAAAAACATTTTCTTTATTAATATTCAGAACAACATTTTTATCAGTAATAATCGGGGTATCGACAATTCGAGCCAAACCCACCCCGCAAAGTTTGACTAAACCGTGTTTCCCCTTTCCTGCGGGCACTCAGACCGGAAATGTCCGGTCTTACCACAGGTCCAACACTCACCCCGACTGGCGCTTTTGCTGCCACGCGAATTTTCCCTCTGCTCATTTTTTCCCTCTTCAGCTTGTTTCCCGTTCCCTTCAGTGCCCTTTTTTCCATTAAAATTATTGTTCTGTCCCTCCTTCGGAAAACTTTTATTCGTCTTCTCCTTCTCTCGAGCATAATTGTCCCCTTGAATTATTTTCAATGCTTTTGCTCGCTCGACTGCCCGATTTAATGAGGTTATCCCCTCTATTTGCAACGTACGTCGAACAAAAATATCGGACACAGCCGAAACGAATTGCGAACAAGCAATCTTATCCCGAATCTCATAGGGGCACTCGGGGTACGCAAGACGAGATAGACGCTCAATATCGGAACCGAGAGTAGCTAGATCCTCCCCAAACCTCTGTCTGCGATTGGTGAGAGCGGAGTAACTATTCTGCGTTAAATGACCCTCCCCAAAACGTAACTCGAGCTTCGCTTTCAGCTCTGCAAAATCTAAACAGTCGACATCTTGCACGGTCTCTAAAATGGAGCGCGCTTTTCCCCTCAAACTCGAGGCTAACACAACAGTTTTCGTCGCGTCATCCCAACGGTTCGCACGCGCGATCAAACTCATTTGCGAGAGGTATTCCTGTAACGGGGTTGTTCCGTCGTACGTGTCGGGTTTCAATTTATACCCCAGGTCGGCACTCGCGACAGCGACACTATCACTCGCGTGTATTCGCGTTCTCACGCCGCTCGAGATCGTGTCTCTTTCTTCCGCACACGCGACTCGCGCTACCGCGGCACTCGAGATTGTGCCCCTTTCACTCGCGTACGCGTCTCGCGTCCGCGTGCCGCTCGGGATCGCGTCCCCCTCACTCGCGTGCGCGTCTCGCGCTTCCGCGCCGCCCGCGACTCGCGTCCCCGAGTCTCCAGACGCTCTATTATCAGAATGACTTAGCTGTATTTGCGTTCCAGAGTTCATCCCTCGGAGAAAACGGAGCTCCTCCTCCTGCCGGCGAAACGTCTCAGCGTACTCCTTCTCCCTTTGTGCCTGTTCCTCGCGCAGGAGCCGGACCTCCTGAATGACGGTCTGAAGACTCTCTGCTAGCGTCACCCCCGCATCCAGCGGATGGGTCGCGCCCGCCTCCGTTCCTACGGATGTCGCGGCCTGCGAACGGGTCCTCGGCGGGGTGTGCGTAGTCGTCATCTTTCAGGAAATTTCGCTCGTCACGTTTGATCCCGGACGAGCCCCCAAAATGTTACACGCCGACGAGCGTTCGCCACACAATTTCTCACTTTCACACTCGCGGCGCGTGTCACGACACTCTCGCACAAATAAGATGACTCGTTTAGAAATCAGTAGCTCTTTATTACGACTCTCGATATAATAGAGGAGCTCGGGACGATACGTCCGAACGAGACGCGTCCCAGAGTAAATCTGAACATCAGGTATAACAGGAAAATCAATAGTTAATTGAGCATCTCGCAATCAATATTAGTAAACAGCATCCGTCGCTAAGGACGGTTCGCGACGCGACATTAAATAACGGGCGACTCGCATATACGCGCGACACGAGGACAGCACGGGCGTAACAATATTTATAACAATAACCTAATATTATTATTGTAGAACCGCATACTTAAGCCCGCGTATAATAATAATAAAATTTTTTACAATAATTTCTTTATAGTTATTTAGATGCTTAGCATCAAAATTAAATCAAATTGATTTAATTAGGGGGAAGGAGGGGATTTTACTCCAATTACAACTGTGTTGCAAGTCTGACAATTAGTCAGCGCGCAGTTATTATGGTTGAAAAATATCTAATAAAATTAAAAATAAATTAATGCGAACATCTTGTTGCGGCTCTGTGCCCTATCCTTATATGTTTGACTAGCTGGTTACCCGGGCTTCGCCCCGGAGGACATATGTAATCAGACACGCAAATAGTCTCTCTCTCTCTCCCTCCTCTCTCTCTCTCTCTCTCTCTCTCTCTCTCTCTCT